TGTCAATGTTGTGTGGATTTTATATCTGTTGATAAATTGTAAATGCGCTAATGTATCCGTCAGAAATTTCGTTTCAGTTTCTTTTGTGTTATCTGTGCAAATATGATCAACTCTATTATATAAACATCTGACTAAGGCACACTTGTATTGAGATGGACAATAACTATGGAAACCAAGGTATTAACCAATCCAAAGCAGCATCCTATGGATAGACCATCCACTGGATTCTCACGTATTCAACAAATAACAAAAATGTCATCCAGATATCTTTTATAAAAACGAAGCTTTCCCAATCAATTCTTCGGCTAACTCTTTAACATATGACATAAACATATCAGCCAGCAGGGGGACCTAAAAGACTACTCATGGCAACATTATTAATCTATCGAAAATATTCGCCTTTGAATTGGAACTAGACATTAACAGTACATAATAATAAGTTTTTGAAGATTATAAGGGGAATGGGCAGAAAAAGATTTCTGGAAGAAATATAGGTACATAAAAAAATCTCAATTGTCCTAGTCGGTGGTACATTAGTAAATAGAGAATTCACATCACAATAATACATAGTCTTATTCTTGATACTAACGTCATTTAATTGATCAACAAGTTCAAGTGTATCTTTCAAGGAAAACTTGGTCTCTAATATGATCCAAGAGTTTTGCTAGCAACTTTAGTAGTTTGTGTGTGAGTGACCAACATATAGATAATATTGGACGGAGTAGATTCTTGGCTTTTTTGGGAAGTTGTATAGGCGCGAATACTCAGATCCCGTAGGTTTCAGGTAGTAAAAATCCTCTTTCTTAATAGTATTCATGTTGAGCAGTTTCGGTAGGATAGAATTTACTCTTTCTTCTAATTTACATATTCCTTGAGCAGGGAAGTCTGCCATAAATTTACTTTTATCGCTGAGGATGGATAACATTTTATATCTATAATCCGACTTATTCATGATAACAACTACTGATCCTCATCGGGTTTATATTATATCTGTTATTTGTCTTCTGGGTTCCTAGTGGAATATAGGGCTTCACTAGCACGCCTCCATTCCACTCTCTTCTCTAAAATCTATTGAACCTGGCTCCACGATAGCCTAGAAGCTCTCATTTCTTCCTCACACCACCTCCTCCATGTCACCCTCACCTCAGACGCCCAACTCGGCTTTTCCTATCTGGGTTCCACTCGAATGCCTGGCCTGGTGCGTGATGTCCCCTATCGGCTTTCTCAGTGCATGCCCAATCCATCTCCACTTCATTCCAGTACATATTTGTTGGGTGATAGTTTCTTGGTTGGTTCGTTAGTAGACGGGAGTTCCTTGTTGCTTATTCTTACTGGACATCTGATGTTCAGTATCGAGCGAGCGTAGACAACAGCTGTTGATGAATGTCTGTAGCTTGTTGGAACTGCTTTAAGTGACGCGCTAAGTCTCTCAACCATCACACAGAAGCACTGACTTCACTGACGTTGGTGTTGAAAATTCTGATCTTGTTCTTTATGCTGAGTGCTGAAGATCTCCACAATGGTTTCGGGCGAAGCGTTGCAATTTGGTCTGCACATGATTTGTATTTCTTGAATTCAGACAGCCAGCCAGCCTGCTCCGGTCGTAGTTTTGGATCGAGCGCATCCTTTAGCCTCTCCAGGATGATGTGGCTTAATATTTTGCTTGCCTTGGGTGGACAAGAGAGTGATTCCGCGCAAGTTCTTCCAAACACTGAAGTCTCCCTTCTTCTGCAGTTTGACAAGGTAACCCTTCTTCCAATCAATAGGCATGTACCTTCACTTCCATCCACACCTTCTGCAATAGTGGTGTGGTGTGAGCATGTCCGCTGTTGTCTCTGCGTCTGTTCTCAGTGCTACTGGCGGGATCCCATCTGGTCCTGCTGCTTTCCTGCATTTCAGTAACTTTATGGCGTTCAGGACTTCGACTTTCGTCGGAGGGCTTGTGCTCACTTGTAGTTCTGTGGCTGCATAATAACATCAGGATTGTTTCGCATTGTTTTTAGTTTTTTGAAATGCTGAGGTGTTTTACGCTTTATACTGTTGGTGGATGATTTGACATTTTTCTTCTCTCATGCTTTTGTTCTGCCCTTGTTATATTTCTAAATTACAATTTCATTGGCTTAATTAACTTCTCTGAGTTTTATATAAATCATTCGACAAGTCCATGTGTGGTCAGATCGTTCGAAGAACATAGCGCTAATACATCACAAATTTCAGATAATCTCTGTCTTTTCAATACCTTAGTCAGGTAAACTATTTGTTGTCTACTTAATCATCATTAACCAATGTCATTGGTTTACTCCATTTTAGTAATTAATCTTCGGTTTTCGATAATTTTTACTTTCCTTCGAGTAACAATTCAGAAGAACAGTAGAGGTGGCCCCTTATGGTCCATTCGATAACGCTTTGGCGTTTGAAGCGATGGGAACCGAGTTTGAGTCTCAGTGGGAACAACACTCAGATGACGAGTTCCGAATAGAGTGGAACAGGCGTCCTGGATCCCACTGCTAGCCACTATCCATCACTTTTGCATCAAAATTGAAAATACCGGTAACATTGAGACATCCCCATAGGAGCCCATACGTGCTAAGAGTGGTAGATTAATTTCGTTCACTTAACGACGGAGATTCACAGGCTATAAGATCGAAAGCTGCTTCATGAAGCCTTTACGTTTTTTTTAAGATCTCAAGAGTCTTATCCGGCATTAACCAATCACTTCAAGGAAACTCTCTATCATATTTATGTCGATAGCAAAAGTTCAACATGTTATCGGTCAATTTTAAAAGGTATTATATGAGGAATAATACAGGTAGCTTCAGAAAAATGGGGAAAAGATAAATTACTTAGACTATTGTAAAGTTGTACAGATGACTTGTCAAAACTCTCGATCTCACAGCATACATTTACATCTACAACTACCTAACAGATTCCTAGCTGATTGAAATTGTAATGCACCTCAGCGACTATATACACGTTCGTGCAGTAGGCAATAAGCGACCTATCATGTGAGAGCTTCCAAGACTTCAATAGGTGAAGAGGAGTTTGAACTCGTGACTTAATGGGGCTAAACCAATGGATCACAGCTCTGTGTGAAAGAATACGGGAAAGTTTCATTTACATGAAATAGTGAATGGTTTACAAAGGCTTTGAAATCAGATCTCTTGTATTCTGCTTTATCAGGTGAGTTTTGTGTTGTTTATTGTGAACCAGTTAATTATCACTTCATTATACATAGTTGTGTCAAGTAAATGTTCCTAAACCTCAAGACTACAGTTTTTAAGGATTCAATACGCTATCACGTATTTCTTTGTTGTCTTTAAAGAGAGTTCCCCTTTCCGATACTTTTCACCACAAACTGACAACAACTATGAAAGTGGAAATAAACCATTGATTACAGCATAACTATTGTTCATCGTCACTCGGGACTCTACTCCTCTTACTGCCGGCTTTTTTGTGAAGTCATAGACCATCAATGAAGTTTAAGAATAAATGACTTCAAATGAGTAACTAAAGAGTGCTAAATTATTTTATTATTATGAAGTACACGCGACCCTTATTATACAGTCGGATATCACGGCGGCGCCACAGGTGGTGTAAGTTGGCAAAAGCCAGCCTAGCCTTCGTGCAGAAATTTCACCGGCCACTGAGCCATTAGGGCTGATCCTACTACCCAGGTGAGTGAAGTGGTTGACACACTCAATCACTTCACGCTCTAATGTTAGCCGTAGCACCGCTAAAGATCAATCCTGGAGCAAAAATTTGCATTTGGCTGGTGAGAACTGCATCACAAACATTCTCAAATTCCCACTCAAAGTGTTCAGAAGACTCTGGATCTTATCAGCGTCTTCACTTAACAGGACTATGTCATCTGCATATTCTAGGTCTAACGAAAATTCTCCTGTGATTGGGTCGACATCTGTGTAACCTAGTGACGACAAGGAGACCTCCATAAGAATATCTATGATAAAATTGAATAAGAATGGAGACAGCGGGCAAAGGATGTATATAAGTAGTATGTGTTGAGAGGTCAGCAGAAGTCCTAGGTAATTACCAGAGTTGGGTAAATATTCTGCCGAGAGAAACGCAAGAGATAATGTGAGCGTATTGAGACCAAGTGGAGATAGAAGCAGAAGAGGAAATGAAGCACACTGTGCAAATGACTGTTTTAATGGAAAGTGTACAGTATTTCATCAGCACTGTATAAGATGTCATAATAGACATTCTTTCCTGCATCTCAGTCCCTGTTGTTTCTTACACTACTACTCAATGGTTTCTAAGATGAATACTATATTTGGACAATTCATGGTATAAAAGATATGTCTTGAAACCAGTAAACAAAACTTTTCAAATCTTTTTTACAGGGATTATATATGATAATCATATCTACTAAAGCATTTCCTCAACGCAAAGAGGGAACATTTAAATTCACAATAAATCTAAAGATAACACCAACGTTTGGAATATGTGATTTGTTGAACAGCATAAAGTAGACTTATGAACTCAACATCTTGACAGTAACCTTAACCAAACAAGACCCCAAATGCTTTCTTTCAATTCAATCCTTAAAACCAGTCAAAATGAAACTTTCAATAACTGCATAATATTCACTACTTCACAATACACAAACCAATTTCATCTTAAATAGTAAAAAAGGTACTTATTAGTGATATGGCTCAAGAGGGACATTCCAAAGTCGTGACATTTGTCGGGTTAACCAATTCAGAAGTGAAGTGGATGCCACCTAAAGACCTTGATGGATAGTCGAGTTATATGGCAAGTTGATAGAAGTAGGAAGCTATAGACCATCAAATTCCAACCTATTAATTGAATAGTTAACGGGTTAGCCGTGTAGGTCCTAGGTTCGACCCTTCACAAGGTTGTGTTGTTGAAAAGTGTCATACTAGGACGAAACAGCTGTTTAGTGTTTCAAGGTTTTCAATGCTTCTTTAATTCATTTCAGTCCGTAATGAATACCAACTTGAAATCAATCAATTAAATTCTTACAAATCTCCAAAGTGATTACTCTTTATTCAAATATCATAATACAGGTAAACTAATTGCACCTATCAAATTAGTGAGAGAACAAGATTGAAGGAGACAGACAGGCACAGAGTTGGTATTCAGACAATCGCAGAAATATAATATGATGAAGCAAATGAAATGAATGAATCAACTGGTGAGAATGTATTACTGAAATATACGAGCTGATGATATAAATAAACCGGTAAGAATAATGCTTATTATCAATAATCTCGAGGAGTAACTGTTAAGAAAGTGATTTAGAACAGTAGAAAATCTTGAGAATATTCACTTAAAATACTGGGAACAGTTATCTGAGCTGAGAGGAAAAGAGAATGGAAGACAAAACACATTCTGCTTAGGTGGATGTTTACCCTTGCTATTTGCTGAGCCTAGCAGGATTGAACGCTTCGATACCCGGTTGTTGAAGTAGGATGTCGCCAGCTTTTTCTTCTGCCAACTTTATTTGATCAGTAATATAGGCGCTTTCATTTTGTTTTAAATCAGGAAAATCTCTTGCAATGATAGTGGCTAAAAGACGTCCAGTGATTGGTCCAGTAAGAATACCCCAACAAGAATTACCCGTAGCAATATAAACACCTGATACACCGGGGACTTTACCGATTACAGGTACACCATCTGATGAGATTGGCAAGTAACAGGCAGATTCGGTTACTGTCTCTGCATCATTTAATGATGGAACTACACTGGTGACAATTTCTTTCAACCGATTACACCGCCAAGATTCAATTTCAACCTTATCCTTTGAAGATGGTACAGGCTGAAAAGAAACAAGAGAATTTTTAAACGGTGTAGCATATAAAGATTAATCAATATAAACAACAACCAATCATTCACCCAGTCGACATCAATACACGACCAGGCATTGCTATATAACGGTCCCAGATACCACATATCGTATCAGGGCATCAAGTAACTAATTAGGAAGATGAAGGATGAAGAAAAATCAGTCGAAAGCAGCAGAAAGAAGTAAAAAAGAGAAAGGAAGAACCGGAAAATGGTGAACTCAGTATAGCGGCTAAGACGAAGATAACGTTCGGATACATCAACGCCACTGACGTCAATTCTGAGCCATGCCGCTTAGAGTCATCAACCATTGGTTTGTGTTGTCGCGCGAACCCCAACCGTGAAGCCCACACTTTCCGTACACGAGTTACACCAACAATCAAAGACTTCATGCAGTGATGCCGCGTTTTAGATTGGTCGCCCATAAACTTTTACCGACCTGAAAAACCTATTTTAGCTAACATTGAGCGGCGAGGACTAGGCATACGTAATACATGTCCCAGCCACCTCAGTTGATGAATATTCAACTCCTTATCAACTGACTTTCTTCTCCTCCCTAAAACTTTATACCTGACTTCTGCGTTATTGAGATGATGAGACCAAGACACACAACCTATACTAGGAAGGTAACAGTGGTCAAGCACCATAAGCCTTCTCATCTCTTCCACCTTTAGTGGGCCTGTTTCACAGTCATAAAGTCATACAGAGAGAATTGTAGGGCAGTACTCTCGACCGTTAATAGACAATCAGATATCGAAGCGGCGGCGTAATTTGGTGGAAGACAGTCTAAACTCTTATATCCATGTAGAGACTTCCTCGGCCACTGATCCAACTTCCCCGGTAAGTGAAACGGTCAACACATTCAACAACTCTGCATTTTTAGAAGGCGCATAAATTTGAAATGTATTGTTTAAACTGAGTTTTCTTGTGAAATGCAGGTCTGGTTAGTGGAGATTTCATTTATAATCTTAAGTGTAACACTCAGGTGTGATTAATCGATGTCACTGCGGATTTTTTTCCAAGAAATTCGGAACCAAAAGGAACAAGCTACTTCTCAACAATAATCAAAACGCTCGAGTTACGCGTAAAATCAAAAACACAGGATTTGTCTGAAACCCCAAATCGTAAGGTATCTGCAGGTTTATCGCTATTAAAGCACTTGCAAAGAGTGCATCGACAGTTAAAACAGCAAGGCTGTCCAAGCAATCAGAAGGGAATATAAAAGACGTGCGTAAGCTCTCATGATGAGGTGAAAACGCAAGATAAACAAATGTTGAAGATAAAATAGAACATCAGGGAACAATAAAAGAAATTACGACACCATCATGAACTGTGAAAGATACTGATATCTATGTGGATATTAAAAAGTAAACAAGATACGATTGCATAGAGTGAGCAGTTAAACATGTGGATGAAGCAACATTATGAGGGAACAAGAACTATACTACTCAAAAATACTAAGTAGTATAAAACTGAGGATATAAAAAAAGAATATGAAGGGAGCATCCTGTAGGGTAACCTCGCCTGGTTAACTAGTTTACTAGTTACTAGCCGGTCCTAAGCCCGGGTAAAGAGGGAAGGTTGGGCATAGGGCTAGCAACCCTACCCCGTAAAACAAATCTAACCGCTAAAGAAACTTCAAAGCACAAACAAAATATAAAAAATGAAAACAAACTTATTCCCCGCTGGAATCGGAGAGGCGAAATGACGCCAGTTGGTGAAAGCCTTCGGGAAGCCAATTGGCCGATGTGTCTTCTCTCGATGAAAGCGAAAGTAAACGTGGGGACATGGAATGTCCGCACGATGTTTGAACCCAGTAAGGCAGCCCAGATTGCAAGGGAGATGAGAAGGTATAACATCGAAGTGCTTGGGATTTGCGAAAGCAGATGGAATGGGAGTGGACTCTCCAAACTGTCAACTGGAGAATCAATAATCTACTCCGGTCACCCAGACGCCAACCACGAGCACACTGAGGGAGTGGCTATCATGATGTCCTCAAGAGCATCGAAGGCTCTCATGCAGTGGGAACCAATCTCCTCCAGGATCATGACAGCAAGATTCAACTCAAAAGGAAGAAAGGTCACAATCATACAATGTTATGCACCTACAAATAATGCAGAGCAAGAGAAAAAGGAGGATTTCTACAGACAACTTCAATCAACACTGGACAAGACGTCAGTTGGCGATATCAAAATTCTGATGGGCGACATGAATGCCAAACTGGGAGGGGACAACACGGGAAGAGAACTAACCATGGGTCGAGAGGCACTAGGTGAAATGAATGAGAATGGAGAATTGTTTGCAGAATTCTGCGCATTCAACGATTTGGTGATTGGAGGCAGTGTGTTCAGGCACAAAGATATCCACAAAGCGACATGGATTTCACCAGATGGACACACTAAAAATCAAATCGACTTTATCTCAATCTCAAGAAAATGGAGACGCAGTCTACTTAACACAAGGTCAAGAAGAGGAGCAGATGTAGGTTCAGACCACTACCTAGTGCAAGGAACCTTCCAAATCAAGTTAAAAGCCTTCAAGGAAGCTGGTGATAGACCTCAATTCAAGTACAACACTCGGAAACTGAAGGATGAAACTACAAAGGAGATCTTCAAGGCAGCCATCAAGACAAAATGGGAGACATCGAGCAACATCCCTGAAGAAACCTGTGTGGAAGAACACTGGAAGTCTTTGAAAGCTATGTGGAAAGAAACCTGCACAACAGTATTAGGAAGGAAGAAGGTGGAAGACAAGGAATGGATCTCGACGGATACCTGGAAGCTGATAGAGGAGAGGAGGATGGTGAAGCGGAAGATAAACCAGTGCAAGGATGCTCAACGACAAGAGGAACTGAGCACAATGTATAAAACACTGGACAAAGAAGTGAAGAAGAGTGCACGCAACGACAAAAGACACTTCTACGAAACACTGGCAAGTGAAGCAGAACAGGCTGCAGGTAAGAGAGACCTGACGACATTGTATCAAATAACCAGGTTGCTGTCAGGGAAGAGACCAACACAGATGAAACCAATAAAAGATGAAGAAGGAAATTTAATTACAAAAGAAGAGAAACAGAGGAAACGATGGGCCGACCACTTCAAGAAGCTCTTGAATCGACCACCACCTGCACTTCGTCCAGAAATACCACCTGCAGCCGCTGAACTACAAGTGAACAATAATCCCCCAACGAAAATGGAAGTCCTGAACGCCATAAAGCTACTGAAATGTGGGAAAGCAGCAGGACCAGATGGAATACCGCCAGAAGCACTGAAAACAGATGCAGAGACAACAGCGGCCATGCTCACACCACTATTGCAGAAGGTGTGGAAGGAAGAGAAGGTACCTGACGATTGGAAGAAGGGTTACCTTGTCAAACTGCCGAAGAAGGGAGACCTCAGTGCTTGCAAGAACTGGCGCGGAATCACTCTCCTGTCCACCCCAAGTAAAATATTAAGCCGCATCATCCTGGAGAGGCTAAGGGATGCACTGGATTCAAAACTACGACCGGAACAGGCAGGCTTCAGGAAGTACAAATCATGTGCAGACCAAATTGCAACGCTTCGCATCATCATAGAACAGAGCATAGAATGGCAATCACCTCTCCACCTCAACTTCATCGACTTTGAGAAGGCCTTTGACAGCGTCGACCGAGAGGTAATTTGGAAGCTGCTTCATTACTACGGAGTGCCGCAAACCTTTATCCGCCTCATTCAACAACTATATGAAGATGCCACATGCCAAGTAATCCACAATGGGAAGCTCAGTGATGCCTTTGAAGTGAAGACAGGAGTGAAACAAGGTTGCCTACTATCCCCCATGATATTCCTTATTGTGGTGGACTGGATCATGCAGCAAACAGTAGGCAGCGAGAAGAGGGGGATACACTGGACGACGGAAAAGAACCTAGAAGACTTGGATTTCGCCGATGACTTATGCCTAATGTCACATAAACTTGAAGATCTGCAGGCAAAAACTAACAAGTTGATAGAAGAGGCAGCGAAGACGGGACTTCAGGTGAATATAGAGAAGACAGAAGTGATGAAGATACCGCACCACCACCATCAACAACAACAACAAACTCCAATCACTGTCAACGGGAGAAACTTAAAGGAAGTAACCTCCTTCACTTATCTAGGAAGCACTGTTTCAACTACAGGCGGGACGGACGAGGACGTCAAAGTCAGAATCGGAAAAGCAAGACAGGCATTCATTAGCCTGAAACCAGTGTGGAGATCTTCTGCACTCAGCATGCGGAACAAGATACGGATTTTCAACACCAACGTCAAGTCAGTGCTCTTGTATGGCTCAGAGACTTGGCGCGTCACGAAAGGTATTTCCAATAAACTACAGACATTCATCAACAACTGCTTACGCTCGCTGCTGAAGATCAGATGGCCAGAAAAAATAAGCAACAAGGAACTCTGGGAACGAACCAACCAAGAACCTATCACGCAACAAATATGCAGGAAGAAGTGGAGATGGATTGGCCATGCACTGAGAAGGCCGACTGAGGACATCACGCGTCAGGCCCTCGAGTGGAATCCCCATGGGAAGCGACGAGTTGGACGTCCAAGGGTGACATGGAGGAGGTCGTGCGAGCAGGAAATGAGAGCTTCTGGGCTGTCGTGGGACCAGGTTCAAAAGATCTCAGAGAACAGAGGTCACTGGAGGCGTGCTACTGAAGCCCTATGTTCCACTAGGAACCCAAGGGACTAATAATAATATAAAAAATAATAATATCCTGTAGGGTAAACGAGAACAAGCAAGGAGTTAACAGTCAAATTATTTACCGTCTACGATACTTTCTGAGTGTGAAATAGCCTTATCGGATTTTTTTTGTCATCTACTTGGTTGTTTTCTATCGTTGATATAGATTATTTATATGAATGTCGTTCATATTATGATAAATCGTAGATCCTCTCATTAGATGCATATTGAACAGTTCGTGTGAGCATTTCATTTTCATCCTGTGACTCCTGAATGCATGCCTTTATGACATAATATAACTGATGATCAAGTTTCATGATTTCCGAATAGTGAGAAAGGTTGACGTGTACTGTTCTCCTTTTCCAATGAACTTTAAGTAAACAAGTAACCATCTACGAGTGGCTTACTCGGTGGTGACTACCATAGGAATCTGGGGTGCGTGTTTCGTCCCATTGAGGACTCGTCAGTTGGATATGCTTTCACCCAAGTGGGTGATGCTGTTCCCAGTGGGACTCGAACCTCGTGCCCATCGCTTCAAACATCACAACGTGATCCATAAGATCACGAGAACCACTTCGCGGATTATAAATTGACGCAATATTCAATAATAGTCATAAGGATTCAAACATATATAGTGACTACGTCAGTTGTTCTACAAAAAATTATACAAAGAGCACTTTGTGTAAGTTAAAACCGAATTAAAGATTTAGGTAAATGAGAATATTGTCTTACTTTACAATAATTCAATTAGCAATTGTATCATGTGTATATTGACTGAGCAGCTGCTGTTTAGTGCATTTATATAAGCGTAAAACCTAAGTACTGTGGTAGAATTTAATTCCATATTAGATTTGTTTATTTGATTGATAACACATAGTGAGTGATATTGTATTATTTACTTGATGACGTTTCCAGCATAAATTATCAGTGCTCATAATCATATCAATGGAAGCAGACTACTGTCAACCTCTGATTTTTATGGTCCTGTCAACTTATATTATTTCTCTTTATTAGTACTAAGATTCTCTATATTTCTGTTATCGGTATTTTATATTCACTCAGAAATTACTCACAGAACTAAGACGTTTATGGATGAGATCATATATACAGTTGTCCTTGACCTCCACATTCTTCAAGTCTCAGGACAAAATATGAAGACAAACAGAAGGAGTAGCAATGAGATCACCAATATCCCCAATCCTAGCAGATATATTTATGGATAGTTGGGAAAACATGGTTTTACGAATGCATAATCCTGCACCTAAGATATGGTGATGTGTGGATGATACATTTACTGTGTTGAAATCGGAACATATCGAAAATTTTCCTCACACATATAAACTCAGTAGTAGGCGCAATCCGGTTCACTTACGAGGTAGAAAATGAACAAGGAGAAATACCTATGCTGGATTCCAGAATAAAACGAAGGACAGACCGTGGTTTCGATACCACTGTCTACTGGTAACCAACACATTCCAACAGGATACCTATAATTCAGGTCATCTCGTCCAATCCATGTCAGTTAAGGCAGGTTTAGTCAAATCTCTAAATGATAGAAAACTGATTAGTCAGTGTAGGGACCTAAACAAGGAACTGAAGCATATAAAAGAAGCGCTAACAGTTAACAATTAGCCTTTGCTATTTATTAAGAAATTCGTATGAACACGTAAGAAACGAAATAATAACAGTAACACAAGTAGAAAAGCGTTCAAAGCCTCCATTATGTTACCATATAAGGAATGTACATCAGAAACTTTACGTAGGATCCTCAACAAAGCTGGAATTATGGTAGTATTTAAACCTACAAACTCACTCAGAGATAAGTTTTGTTAGCTAGATTAAGAATCCGAAAGAACCAATTCAACAAAATAAGCTAATCTACTAAATCCCATGTAATGACTGTCAGGTCAAGTACACAGGTCAAACTAACCGGTCGGGATCAGTTAGAATAGCGGAACATAGGGATTTAGCTAATTATCGAATGACAGACGCGAATAAGATCAATATTCTAGAAGGAGACTAGGCTACTGCAACACATGCATTATCACACAACTATACAATACGATGGGATAAAACTACTCAAGTCCAATATAATTAGGTGGAGAGAGAGAGGTGGTTCATCGAATCAACACGCAACACATGTAATAGTTTAGTGGGTGTTGCTGATCAGAACAGACATAAATAGTATATCTTGAGAGGGCTGCAGAAATCATAGGTAATTACCAGCAATAGGTAAGGATTCTACCCAGAGAAACGCAAGAGATAACGCGGGCGTATTAAGAGCAAATCAAGATAGAAGCAGAAGAGGAAATGAAGCACATTATGCAAAAGACTTAGTGTAAGGTGTACCATATTTGATGACTACTGTACCAAATGTTAATAATAAACATTGCTTCCTGCATCTCTGTCTTCTCGTTTCCTTCAAGTGGTGTCGCTGCTTCTGGATGTGATGAAGATTCCGTGTTCTGTAGTGTTTGAGGATGGAGATATCAGCGTCTTCCCCAAGGACTTCGAGTCAGTCGAGGAGCTGGTGGGTGCCCAGAAACCTAGGAGTGAAGGTTTTGGTACTTGGCACGTTGTGGAGGGGTAGAGTGAAAGCAGCATATGACGGTGTGGAACGTGGGAACAGAAAGGAGACTTGGCAGAGAATGGTAGGACGCCTGGAGGCGGAGTTTGACATCGACTGATACGGCTGAGACATGTGTTACGTATGCCTAACCGCCGTTCGCCTTTTCACTCAATGTTGGCCGAAGCAGGTTCAGATTGGAAAAAGGCTCGGGGTGATCAGACTAAAATATGGGATCAATACATGAAGTCATGGACTGTTGGTTTGAGCCATGTAGGTGGATGCAGACTAGCCGGTTGGGGTCCGTAGGACAAGAGAAACCAGTGGTTGGAGACTCTATGTGATATGGCTGAGGACCGATGTCAGTGGCGCAGATGTACATACACATTATCATCTTAACCGCTATACTTAATCTGATCATCTCACTGCTGCTTTATCTCTTTTACTACTTTTTACTTCTTTCAACCAGTTTTTAATTCCTTCTTCATTTTCCGTTTTATGGCTTTGTTACTTGATGTGCTGATATGAGGTGTGGCAACTTGGACCGTAACGCCAGTAGTACCTGGTCCTATGTTTGACCTTGATGATCGATGGTGATAAGTGTTTCCTTGAGTCGAGATATAAAATGTTCTCTCTTAACGGTCTTCATTAATCAACATTTCAGAATGCTATCTGTTGTGTCAACATAGAATTCTAAATTTATAATTACTTTCTTTCATCCTTGCATATGTTTTAAGAACGCTAATTGATGGACATTTTTATCAATAAATCTTACTGGTTACTCATTTTTGATGAATAAAAAGCCTAGAAATTCTAGTTCTTCTGTTATATATTCCGAGAGAATATAATACACGCATTTGACTGACAGCTAACTTTGTATGGAAGATCCACCGACTCCGACTCGGACAAAATAGAGAAGAAGACTTAACTGGACGGGAGAGTTTATTCCTACGAGAATAATAGTCAGTTAAACCAAAAACACGTTTGTATGTATGCGGGACATATGACCTTTGAAACCTTAACATGATAAAAGCAAGCAGTAATTGTTAGGGATGTCTAATCCCTAAGAAAAACTAATGTATATATTATCACTGTAAAATTTGAACCTAATTTTTGAGCTATGCAATGTCACCTATTTTTTACCGCAGTTGAGAACATTAAACTCTGATTGGTTCATTTTACACTTTTAATTTGCTATTTTGTTTTCCCTGGTCAAGGTAATCTATAAACCACTGAGTTTTCAGCTATAAGACCATTCAGTTGAAGCGAATATACTTTCAATCCCATCATCTTCTCCCTGATGCCAGCTGAATATCGAGTTAAGAAGTCATTGTTCAGTCGTTAATCGTATTGGATTAGAGCATGATATCGTTATATATCGTGAATTATAACAGTAACCAATCAGAGAATTACCTTGACAATGGCGGCAAAACTGTTAGTCATGTCGTAAAAAGTCGAGCGAAAACCAGAATTCAAATATTTTTAGATTAGTAAACAATGTAATATGCGAAGTCTTCAAGTGCATCATATGACCAAATTCTTCGGGTTCCATGTGAAAGTGCGGACTTCTGTATCAAATCGATTCATAAACAATACTCGCCTAAAGAAGATTTTTATGAGCACAATAACATTTGTTGTAAGGTATGATTCTTTTGACAATGAAGTCAATACAAACGTGTTTATACTCTAAATCAATGGAATCATACGTTTAGTTTCTGTTTACAGAAAGACTAAAAAATCTCACTCAACTTTATAATTCCACATGACCTAATTAACCCAAAAAGTTTTAGTTAACAAAATACAACAGCTGAAGTAGCATTGATAGTCAAACAACTATTAGTTCAGTCTTCTTCTTTGTTCGTCCCAGGTTGGAGTCGATCGGAGTCTTGCATACCCATTTCGGTAGGCAGAGTGGGGTTCGAACCCACAACCCTGTAGTTGAACATCAGCTGTCTAAACCAAAGAGCCATGGCTCCACTTTAGGAATGATAGTTGAAGACGGGAACAGATTGCACCATCACCTGCTGACCAGTAAGCAAGGACATAATGGTTGGATCATAAAGTAATTAACGTGAAATTTATGCATCTAGAGTCTGACAACTCGACGATCGAAAGTATAGTGTTGTTACGTCGAGGAAAATAAAATATACTCTCAACCCAATTAGAAAATTCCAGTTTTGCACAAAAACCTTTTTAAAATTGCTTTCGCGCCATTTGTTACGGCATGGGGAGTAGATCATTTTTCGCTCCCATTTTCACGGTAATTCGCTGAATTCTCAATGTTTACTCTTGCGATGTTAATATCTCAATTTCTGGACAAGGTCATATTTCATGTGTATACAGACACACGTGTGTTTGAATTAATCAATTATTATTCCTGGAGAAATAACTTCTCTCATTCAGCTCAGTCTTCTTCTTTGTTCGTCCCAGGTTGGAGTCGATCGAAGTCTTGCATACGAAGTTAGCTGTCACAGTTAATCGTGAGTATTATATCCACTCATCATATATAACGAAACCTATTTGACAATTACGTAGTCATGAAAATATTAGAACCAGACAATAAAGAATATGACAAGATTTATTGTTAAACTCACTGCTCCATCACCAAGACCACATACATAAACTGTATTATCAGGTCTTGGATAAACTTCAGGGGAACAATTAAACTCTGAACTTTGATATTCCATAAATAAGCATTTTGCATCGATTGAAGAATTTTCAATCTTTGGTTTTAATATAATACTATGTGCTCGCCTTCCTTGAAATTGTTTAGGATTTAAACATCCTGAAGGTAACCATTTAATGGATTCACTTGACCAAGGTCCTGTGGTAAGGATAACTAAATTGGCGGGTATAACTTCTGATTTTGAATCAGACAATTCTGTTACACGAATACCAACAATATAAGAAGTGGATGAATTTGATTTTGAAAATTCTAATCCTATGACATGAGCTATTTTCAATTTTGTTCCATGATTAGTGAAGTATTGGGCACGATGAAATAATTCTTGTGTAAGTTTTTTCGGATTCACCTGAAAAGTGAATAAAATTAAGATAAGTATTATCATCAAAAGGGTAGTTTGTTAGCAAGAACAACCTGATACAGTTTATATCTCTTTTAAGTATACAACACTATGGTATTTTTGATAGTGAATAAAAATGGAATCTGGGCACTGTGGTAGAATTTTATTTCATTTTCTAATGCTTTATTAGTGGAACAGTATTATTTACTGCAATACATGGAGAACATGGCTCTGGAAGTAGTTAGAACTGAGCTCAATAATTATAATAAGCTTACACTACGAACTAAGTTGCCAGCCAACACAGGAGATCATATTAGGAGTGCAACTATATCTAACTTCCACAATCTTTGGGGTTTTCGAATAAACTATACAAACAAACAGAACGAGTTGCCATGGCATCATCATGGTAGACATACATGTTTATGGATTGTTGAAATCTCAGCACATAGACAACTTTTTTGTATACATAAGTTCAGTAGTCAATGCAATCCACTTTAACTATGAATTAGAAAATAGTGAATAGGGATTAGCAATGTTGGATTGCAGAGTAACATGAAAATAAGATGAGAGTTTACACACTCAAATCCTTACTTAGATTTTAAAATCATCTCACCCTATGTCAGTTAAACTTGGCTTAGTAAAATGTCTACATAACAGTAAGACAGAATATCTAAGATAAGAAATCAGATACGTTAAAAAAAAACACCTTACTCATCGACAAATTACCCTCCTTAATTAATAAGTTCCTTAGAAATCGCAAGTAAAATATGACTAATAATGGGGATACAGATGTTAACAGTAGTGACAATAATGTTAATAGTAATAGTGGCAATACCACGAAGACAGAGTCTAAAATCTCTACGGTCTTAATATACAAGGAATGCACCTCAAAGACATTAGGTATAATTTTCAAGGCGTCTGATTTATAATTGAAAGAGTTACATTCATCACCATCATTATCAACATAGGACCAGGCATTACTGCGTAACGGTCCGAGTTGCCACACCTCACGTCAGTTCATCAAGTAGAAAGGTAGTGAGGTGAACGATGAAGATAAGTGAATGCAGTCAAAAGAAATATAAAGTACGAGAAGAGAGGAAAGAGGAATGACAAAATGGTGAGATTCGGTATAGCGTTGTTAAGATGAGGATAACGTGTGTATACATCTGCGCCACTGACTTCGGTTCTGAGCAATATCACCTAGGGTCTCCAACCACTGGTTCCTCTTGTCCCCTGGACCCCAACCACCTAGTCTGCATCATCCTACATGGCTTAAACCAACAGTCAGAGACTTCATACATTGGTGCCATGTTTTAGTCTGGCCACCTCGGGCCTTTTTCCAGCCTGCACCCACCTCAGCCAACATTGTGTGACGAGGCAATAGGTGACTAGGCATACGTAGTACGTGTCCCAACCATCTCAGTCGATGAAGGTTCACAACCTCGTCGACTGACTTACCTCTTCTCCCCAAAACTCTACACCTAACTTCTGCATTACTCACATGGTGATACCACGGAATACGTCCTATGTTACGAAGGCAACGGTGGTCAAACACCTGAAGCCTTTTTGTATCCTTCACCTTCAATGGCCATGTTTCACAGCCATATAGTAGAACAGAGCGGACTGCTGTGCAGTACACGCGACCCTTAATAGACAAACGAATATCACGGCGGTGCCATAGGTGGTGCAAATTGGCAAAAGCCAATCGAGCCTTTTGTATCCGTGCCGAAATCTCATCGGCAACTAACCCGCCAGGGTTGATCCTACTTCCCAGGTAAGTGAAGTGGTCAACACACTCAACCACTTCACTCTCTATTGTTAACCGCGGTACCGCTGAAGACCAGTCCTGGAGCAAAACCTTCCATATATCGTCTAAATTTCTATACGATAAGGTGTCAATATCCAGTTTAAGTCGTTTCACACATTTCAATAGTAAAATGAACACCAAATACATCTATCACACCTAAACATCATGACCTAATCAACCAATATTGGGAACAAGTAACATAACACAAAGAAAATGATACGAGCGGAGATATGATTAGAGTTTAAGGAGGTGGGAGTTTTGATGGAAGTGTTAAAACAAGAAAGATGGTGTGCATGGTGTATGTGTGAATGCCAGAAAATACGTTAAAAACCATGATTAAGATATAATGGATTAAAGTAAATCGATAATGATGGAAATATGAATAATGTTTGAGGATAATATGTAAGACAATAAGATGAAAGAATAAAGGAGTAAATAAAGCCGTTGGAAAAGAACAATTCATAAAGGCAATGTAAGGTGAACCACAGATCTGTTTTGTAGACATAAGTTTGGTTTTAGTCGCTGCTTTTTCATAATGTTACGATCCACTACTTCTTTGTCGGTTGATTATCTAGGAAGTTATGTTTGGGTCGATGAAGCACAAACATAGTTTCTTGACACATGTAAACTCAGCAGTCAATACAATCTAATTCACTTATGAATTAGAAAATAGTGATGGGAAGTTGGGGATGTTGGATTGCAGAATAAAACGGAAACAAGATGGAAGTTCAGACACTAGTATCTACAGAAAATATTCACAATCGAATCGTCTGATCCTATGTCAGTTGAAGTTGGCGTAGTAAAGCGTCTAAATAACGGGGCCAGAAAACTTACTAGTAAAACAAAAGATCTAAGACAAGAAATTAGATACATTAAGGAGACCTTACTCATCAACAATTACTCTCCTAAACTATTTGATAAGCTTCTCAGGAATCGTAAAGAAAATATGACCAATATTAGTGACAAAATTGTTATTAGTAATGATAATAATGCTGATGATACTAGTGGCAATACTATGAAGAGGGAATTCAAGACCTCTACAGTATTACCATACAAGGAGGGTAGATACCTCAAAGACATTACGTGTGGTTCTCAGTAAGGCTGGCCGGGATTAGAGTGACATTTAAACCTACAAACTCACTTAGATGCAATTCGACAGAGTAATTCAGTTCACCAAATCCCTTGGATCGATTGCGAGGTCAAAGTAGTCGACCAGGGTCAATTAGGCTATCCGAGCACAAAAGCCTAGCTAAGTCAAAATCGGTAGATCCTAGTAAGGTAAGTAATTTAGAAAAAACCTCAACCATTGCTATGCATGGCGTAACACAACCACAGAATAGGATGGGAGAGAGTGAAAATTCCTAGAATTAACTTAGCGGAGTAGGGTGAGAGATTGATAACCGAATATTTATTTGTCGAATCGACACCTAGTACACGCGCAACAGGAATGACTCAACATCTGTTCTGGATATATATATAGAAAATATTACTACCTACATCACAAAGGAGGTGAAAAAATTAGAACTATACAAAGCATGTCTCAAAGCTATGGAGTCATCTTGATATGACTATGAATAATAAATTGCATCCGAAAAGTAGAAATCCAGTGAATAATAGGGTTCCATTGTGTGGTGATGCATCCAATAAACCAACTAAACATGAGCTTATTAACTGTCACTTTGAACCCTATAATGTGCTTCCCTTGTTCAACAAAAAGCGAGTCAGGATAACTTCGTATTCGCGGTTGAGATGGGATGCAGAGCCTGTGCTCGCTTCTGGGTCTTGCGGAACAATTCCATGTCCTTGGTGGATTCTAATGCAGTAGGTCTACCCACTCGCCTGACGTAGCTCTGGTGTACCCGACAGAGGGTTGGATGTTGATTAAACTTGTAAGGGGGTTGTACGATTTGTCCGAGGACTGGAGGTGCAGATAGGTTCCTCAAATGTTGCGTCACCAAACAGTTGTTCGGACTAGTTGGAAAACGGAGATAGAAAGGATGAGAAAATGCCCGGCTAAAACAAGGGAGAAGTGTGAGAAAAAAGGTGAAAAGAAGCAGAACGAAAGTGAAGGAGAATTCTAGGTAGATTTAGGGGAGATAACAGAGATAAGGAGAATCTTAACAAATAGGATGAGATCGTAGAGTCAGAGAGAGAAGGAGTAAGATTATAGGATAGATTACAGGAATAGAAATAGTATTATTAGTGGCGGCGTGGCAATCGGAGGTGAGAGGTCTAACATGAAAGTATAAGCTTGAGTGATATTCATGATGATAATAGCAGCACAAAAGCGTTAGTATGGGATGACTGAGTTGGAATGATGCAAAATTAGTTGGTTGTTTTGGCCTAGTTAGTATCCCAGCTGGATGAGTAGAAGCCATGTCACAGCGTACCTGTCTAACCTCTTCTTGAAGCCGTCGACAGACGGAGTAGTAGCAATCTCGGCAGGCAATGCGGTCCACTAGCCACAAACTCGTGTGGAGAAAAAGTGTGAACAAACACGGGTTTTTGTCCTTTGATAGATGATTCTCCTTGGGTTGCCACGAGGATTGCCACGATTGCTGTTTGGTAGGACCCCATTGTTCGGGTGACTTGGATTACTTAGTATTTTTTAAACCGTTATCAGGTCGCCTACTGAAACTGAATATCATTAGGATACAAGTCTAACGGTTAATGAGTTGAAACAAACGTGCTAACCAACAATAAGTGCTGGATTCCAGCGGGTGTATTTGAGAAACAATCAGGAAAAATTAAATATTTGTTTAGTTTTTACACTGTTAATTATATTGCATAGAACTTGAAAAAGGACAGTTTATTGATAAGTGAAAAAATGACCAACCTGTGCAGTGTTTTTGCACTCCCCTATCAATGAGCAACTTCTAACTTTTGCACTGATCCAAGAAGGTGTTTGTGTAGGGCCAGAACGCTCCCCAGGAGACAAAGCAATTGAATACGTGTCTACGCGTCTGTAATCACACACATCACCAAATTCTTCTGCTAACTGCATGTGTAAATCAAAGCCATTTTGAGCTAAGACATCCATTTCATAATGAGAACACCAATCCTTTGCTAAGAAACCTCCAGCTCGACCGGATGCAGCGGAACCAAGTTCCTCTTTTTCAATAATCAATGTGTCAATCTTCCGTTTGGCTAGGAAATATGCAGTAGAAACACCGACAATACCACCTCCAATTATAACAACTGACATGATGTGGAATCGCGGATCTACGGTTTAACTTTTGCTATTCGAATGAATTTTTTGTCTGACTAGAAGAATGAAACTAGTTTAGTATTCCCGGTGAATTGTTGTTTTTTTTGGTAAGCCTTCTTTTGTGATTGTGGTAACTTTGTTCTTAGCTGTTTCGGAAGTGATATACTAGCCAATAGAAGAAAAAAAGGGGGACTAGTATGTGAGTATCTCAATCTCAAAGTTTAAAAGATAGATCGGCTTTAGAGTTTCAGGCTGTTTGAAATTTCATAATTGCATAGGTACATCATCCATTTACTTCGGACGTCTCACGAATCGAAATGCACTCAGCAACCTTGTCCACACTTTTGTGCAGTAGACAATGAGCCACACCTATTGTGTGAGGGCTACTGATGATACTACCTAGCTGCCCAAACCCTGATAGGCAGAGCGGGATTTAGAATCCATGACCCATTGGTTGAAAGTCAGTTGCTTAAACCACTGGACCATAGACCCTTAGGAGAAGTCTCAATATTTTGAGGTTAGTATATACATTAAAGTATTGGCACGAAGGTTAAACTTGAGTTATTCACTGTCTCCTTAAAATATGGTCGTCGAAAGTTTAACTGAACAGCAATTTTCTAGTAAGTCTACACTCCTTGTTCTTAGACGAACTAGTGTATATTATACTCATGAAAAATAATAAACTATCTGAAATATCAGTAGTCTGGTAGATTGATGCTGTCGATACCGTGTGACTGAAGGTGAAATGAAAAACTAGGTTACGTCAAACACTTTAAATCGACGATATTTCGAACAAATTTGAAGATATAAGCAACAGTACATCTCACAAGGCTTTCCACTCAGAGTTTTTAGTAAGCCAGATAACTATTGGACTTCACGTGTTCCTGATTTAAGTATCTTAACACCACCATATATCCTTGGGATTCGATTTAATCCTCTCAACTCTGTTGAATGCATTTTTATGGTCAAATTTTGGCTTTAGGAAAACTCATAAGATCAACTCATCTCTATTAAGGTTACTTTGATTGGTTGAAAGCTGGTTCAAATTGAAAGTGGCTCTTTCAGCACACTAAATTCAAACATATCAAGAGCTGTATGTTCACAAAGAGCACCACAGATCCTTAAGTGAACTTTCACATTGCAGTAGAATACCGTTTAATGAATAATGATTCACAGGTTATCCAGCTGGTAAGAACTTTGAGCAAAAAAAGTGAGACTTAGAAATTTTACATGAAATCTCACTAGAAAATGAATATGAACCTTGACTCCAACACGAAGTGAAAGCAACAAACACAACAGTTATCGACTATCTTAAATAAAACTGGAATTCAAGGGTGGCATTGAAACTGAAATCCTTAGAAGTAGTCTTTTGCAATCTCAACAGGAAGATATTTCACGCAGTAAACCTACAACTTATATTCCCAAGTAAACAGTCAACCTACCAGTGAATTAAGGACACAATACCGCTTTCACCCACCTCAACGTGGATCTATCAGCTCATGTTCCCGTGAAGTAATGCACATTGGCCACATATAGGATCAAGTTAGTAAACATGTTTTGAAACAATGTCCCACTTGGTTAGCGAGAAAAGAGTGAGGGGATATCACCACCTTCTACATTAGAACATGTCATCATCAAACGCTTGGGCCTTCCTCACAATTTCGAAAGAATTCGACTGTCATATATACATAGCCTAGTCAATGACACTTCATAATCATAAACGTGGTCTTTTTATTAAGTATAATTAGTAGCCTTACGACTACCATAGTAATTTCCTTTTTAATAAACTTTCCTTAACCATCGACTCTTTGTCGCTTTGTCTTGTGTACTTTTCGGTTGGCTGATCCAGTTTCCCACTTATTATGTAATATCTCTCTTTCTAGCGTCAGCTTCCGCAGCCTGCTTTACTTCCCAAATTTGTCTTCCTAAAGCGTAAAATCCTTCCAGAATACACTACTATTATCCGGCCAGCATCTAGAAATTTTGTCAAAATACCATTGGTACAGACTTAGAAAATGAGAATGTCAAACCTATCTTCTTCACTACTTACAAAAAGTTACTTGAAAACTTATGAATGAGTACTATCCTGGTCAAGAAAGAAACTAACCGTTTTTACTGAAAATGTTTAGGTGAAAGTTTTTCGAAAAATCTCAACTCCACCTCACTCCACCCCCGGAAGTGCAGCAGATCCTCTGCACGTCTGTTGAAAATGCCATACTAAACGGCAGATTGCAGTACGAAGTCTCATGCAAGAATATTGCAAAACCTTGTACATTTAACCCAAGAACAACGTATAACTGTCAACTTGTATGCCTATCTAGAGACACTCTACATTCGAAATCTCTTTACATTCCAGAAGTAAAGGTTCACTAAAAAATGTATTCGGAAAATTAACCGAAAATCACTAACCTAAATATACAAAATATAGAAGTTTCAATACTATGGAGTATTCACTCTACTTGTAGTAAGTTCTCAGAAAAAACTCGCTAACTGCTTTCATACTAGCAGCTGAAACGGTGCACCTCCTTTAGGTGAACCATAACCTGCAGGAATCGCACTATGCAACATATGATGTTTACTGACAGTACTTGTTTTCACCTTTTTTTGCTTCAGAGATTTCGGCATATCACAGCCTGCTCATAAAAAGTTGAGCTTTTCTGAGAAATGATGAAGGAACATCTTCAACAGGGACATTTCACTATAGTGAAATGTTAATGACACGCCCAACTGTACGAACTCAAACTTTCAAATGTGACTGAATCATAGAAGGCTTATAGCTCCTAAGGTTACTGCAATCCTTTTTGCTGGTGTATATTGTCGTTCATTTAAACCGGATGACGTACATTAGTTTTTCAGATTTGGAGTCCAGAACTGTTGGTCTGAGTCGTGTTGGGAGATGTAAACTACCTGGCTGGGGTCCTCAGGATGATAGGAATCAGTGATTGAGAACTCATGGTGACAACTAGAAATCAGTCACAATGGCGCAAATATATTCACTCTGTTAGTCGTCTTTTAAAGCTTGAACATTTTTATCAACCCTGTATCTTCAATTTGTTTATTCCCTCACATAACTTCATCTACTTTGATATCGCTCTTTTTCGATACATCGGTTCTTTGTATACCACTCTGAAGTGTGGTAACTTGAACCAATGCACTTGTGCGCGAGGTTATACGTTGATTTTGTTTGTTCGTCTTTCCAGGGATACTAATGACGAACTCAGGTTAGTTGATTGATCTAGGATTTCACTAATAAAGTTTTGAGACGTAGCTAGTAATAAAGGGTGGTCGTTTACCAAACACATATCAGGAAACAACTCTAAACATGGTTTCGATAAATATGAAGTTACATACAGGGGCAAACTGAATTTCATGGTTTCCTTCATAACATGCAGTTGCATGCGAACAGATGACAGCTTCAGGCATTGAATACAACTAGATTAACATCGAGAGGATTAGACACTGACATGATTAAGGCATCTAAAAAAGATCTTGTGGGATTACTGTAGGGCGGTAGGTTATTAGAGTTGTAGGAGAACACGGCTTACACTAGACATGATGGCATGAGCAATGATTGTACTCGCACTATCAATACTTGTATAGTCAACTCACACAGTTACATAGTGTGTACATGCACGTAAGTGCGGGACTTTGGCAAGAGCAGATAGATGGAAACCAACTGATTGTCAGTTGCTTCTTCTGCGTTTATGTGTCGTACATTTAAGGGATATTTTACCGTCAATTTTGCATGACATGCATCTAGTTTTAAGTATGTTTTTACTCAGCCACTCTGCACGTTACTTTCACTATCTGCAAAACAGTTAGATTATTACTTACAGGATTTGAAGGCATCTTTAACATATTTGATAGTGAAAAAAGGTTTACAGTACTTATAATCTGCTAAGTCAATGCGATGCTCTCGCTTTCCACGGTCTGTTTGACTCTTTTGAGGCTGATACACGCGTTCTGTAGCAGTTGGTCACAGGTCCGAAAGATCCTACTGTTTAGGTGAGGGAGCAGATAACATATGGACGTCTAATGAAAGCGGATTCACATACGCTTAATTGCAACAATTACGCACCCATAGATACTAATAAGCAGACAAGAACGGTCAAGGAATTCAGGATTGTGAGTACAAACAGTACAGACAAAATAAAAGTAGGACCTCACACATAAGAGCATTGGTTAAAATTAATATAGGAGTAAGACTTGGGCTCTGTGGTCGATTGTAATTCCATTTTATTCTGTTTATTAAAAATGTCACACAGTGAAACAGTATCGTTTACTGGATAACATTTCGGACACAATTTATTGTCCATGTTCAGTTAAAGTTGTTAAAGCTATCACACTTTACAGTAGCATGCAAAGAACAGGTAGGTAGAAAAAGACCGACATAAAAGTAGACAAAGTTATCTGAGAGAGTGAAGAAACTTGAAAATAAAGATTGATGAAAATATTCAAGTTTTAGAAGACGTCAGAGAGTGAATACATCCACACCAGTAACCAATTTTCAGCCACTTCACTAAAAGTTCTCAATCACTGATTCGTAGTGCCTCGATGACACCAAACAAGCAGCCTACGCCAAACTAGACTGCTCAGACTAACAGTAAGAGACTTCATGCACTGTTAGCTTGCATTGGTCTGACCACCATCAACTTTCTTCCAACGACATCCAACTTCCCCTAGCATTATACGACAAGGTAGGCAGTGGCTCGGCATGCGCAACACACCTCTAAGCCACTCCAATCACTGAATGTTCACAAACTCATCAACCGAATTCTCTTCCTTGTCTAGTACCCTTCGCCTAACCTCAACATTGCTCATGCGGTTGTTCCACCAAACGCGAGCAATCCTACGAAGATATGTGTGATCAAAACCCTGTAACCGCTCTGTCTTCTACTTTTAACGGCTGTCTCACAGCCGTACAACAGGACAAAACGGACTGCAGCGTAATATATTCGTCCTTTGATAGACAGTCGTATATTTCTCTAATCGGCGCCGCAGATGATGCAAGTTGACAAATTCCAAACGAACGTTCTGTATCCCAGCTGAGATTTCGTTAGTACTAGTAGGAATAGCCGAAAACCAGTCCTGAAGCATCACCTTACATTTGACAGGTACGAAACGTATGCCAAAGATAATGAGATTTATGTTCAAAGGGTCTGGATGACCCTGCACCTTGTCAGTGTCTTCATCTAACAGGAAAACATCACCTATATACTCCAAGTTAACCATATATCCTTCAGGCAGTAGATCGATGAATTCCTGAGAAGTCAAACATACCTAAGTCTATGTCCATTAGTACGTCTATAGCGAAGTCAAACAGGAACATCGTCAGTGGGCATCCTTGGTGGACACCTCTAATGACAGCTCTATAAGTTCTTACATGCGTGTATGAGTTTGAGAAGAGAGATTTGATTAATCTTAAATACTTGATCGGTATTTTCTACACAGTCGAACACTGCTACAACACCTTACGGTTGACAGAGTCAAATATCGCCTTCAGGTCAATAAAAATATGGCAAGTATCGTTCATTGGTCGGTGGACATGTCTGTTTTCCAGAATCTGTTGAGAAGTGAGAATCTGATCTATGCATTCTCACTCATGTCTGAAAACTGCCTGGTTTTCTCGAATCGCTGTTCTCTAGTTCCTGTTAGGCTTCGGATAACTATGGATCCTGGAGTCTTGGACACAATATTAGTTAAACTAATTGTCTTAAGGTTGTCACAAGACTTCTCGCTCTTATAGACTGAGATGATCAGTGAAGTACACCAGTCTGACAGCACCACCTCTGATTTCCATATACTGCCTAATACCCCCGCCACTTTAATTAGCAATTTCCTACCTTCATCCTTCAAAGCTTCACAAGGCAAACTGTCAATTCCTGTCGCATTCCATTGTTTCAGGTTTGATACAGCTTTGTGAACTTCAGGCAGGCTTGCAGGACCGACGTCTACGTCCCATTCAGGTTCAGGCTGGATGCTAGGCAACTTGCTGTTGGCCAGTCGAACTGCGCTTCGAAGTGTTTTGCTCAACTTTTTAGCCGCTTGTTCGAGGGATTTATCAAGGTTCCATCGTTTTCCGTGATGGTTTCACTCACCATTGTCTTCCTATCAGTATTCGTTATAAGCCTAAGTAGTTGCCGAGTTTTACCCAACGCTGATGCCTTCTCCATCTTTTTTGCTTTCGCCACCCACCACTGCTCGCGATCGATGTGAAGACCCTTGGTCAACTTACGTTCAAGTTGCTTTCGCTCTTCACCGTGATCAGAGCCAGCTGGAACCAGTCTTCTCATATCAGCCAGTTTGGATGGCGTAGCGGAAATCATATAAGGTTTGCTAACCTATGGGTATAGGTTACCAACTGTCTTCATCGCTGTTTCTACAGCAGACTTAATGTCACACCAGGCTTCATCAGGATCAGCAGTGCTATTACGTTCAAATAAATACTTAACCAACTCCTCATTAAATGTGTACTAGGTGTCCTCATCGTCCAATCGACCACGGATAGGCTTTAATATCACCTGTTTTCTGAGACTAGTTAGGCGCAGACATACACGAGCGCGTTATCGGAGTCCAAACTAGTAATCCAGAAAGATTGGGAATCCTTCAGTGATAATCTCCAACGATGACTTATAGCAATGTGATCTATCTGCGTCCATCGTTGGTTTGAAGTCGGCGGACGTCATGTGACAGTGTCTCCCCTTATGCCTAAAGTTAGTACTGGCCAGAAACAATTGGTTAACGGAGCAAAGTTGCAACAGATGATCACCGTTGTCAGTTCGCTGGTACGGGACTCCATAAATACTCGCAAGATGCCTTTCCAATTGACTCAGCTTCCCTACTTGAGCGTTAAAGTCACCTACCATAGTAACTACACATGAAGGCTTTCATTTCTGCAGCAAAGTTGACAAGTTTTCATAGAACTCATCCTTTGGATTATCTGAACTGCAGTCGGTGGGTGCGTGGGTAGAGATTACGAATAGGCATCGCCTCGTCTCACGGTCTTTCTTAGTCTTTACAGATTCACTCAGTTGAACACCACACATACGGCTGTTCACGGGTATCCAGTCGACGAGTACGCTTCTATTTCACAACTCGATTCTGTGCCTACAGCAGAAGTTCACAACAGCTAGCTATTGAACGTTTAGATACTTGTAAGGTGAATTTTCAAGATTAACTACTATGGCCAGGGGAGATCAATTTAATAACCACAATGGGGTCCTGTATATATGTCTCAAAGACAGCATACACCCGTGGCTCGGAATACCAGAGTTCTGGCAGCCGATACTTGCTGTCCGATTTGACAGAGTTCGGACGTTGAAAGCCCCTACATGAAATTGATGGCAGGGTCCTCGAAGACTAGGAATGGGGTTTCCCGTGGTTTTGATCGTTGGAAACGGTTGCAGAGTGAGAGATTGGGCAAAGCAGGAGGGGCTAAGTGTTAGTATCAGAAAGTGGAGGTAATGGAGGAGACAGAATAGATGAGGATAGGTTATGTTCAGTTGGGTCTTATGTACTGCTGGAAGCGTGCGGACGGTCGACACTCCGGCTGCCCACAACGTGGAAAGACATCTCTTAAGGTACCTGGAAGAGGAAAAGGTGTGTGGTCGCAGAGCCCATGGGATATCTGCCTGGGATCGGTCACACACAGCCTTTTGGGGGATGTTGTTTCGAGGTTTGGTTGTCCCAACACCGGATATAGAGAACTCTTACCCCCAGCACCAGAAGACCGTTGGACAGAATGGAGAGCTGTTTTCGGGGTCGACCTTTTCTAATTAGCCCCATTCCCATTTGGAAGGCAGAATCAGTGTGGCATTGCTGGTCATCTAAGAGAAACAGCTTACTGCTATCATATCCTGTCCAGCTAGCAACAGTACAACTGCGCCCTCAGACTCCCATCATAGTTCAGTAATTTACACCACAATGGTAATCGCTTCACGTCTTACCGCTATCTAGGAGACTTCTGGCATAATAGGACCACGAGGGAACAAGCATTTTGCCAGCATAGCTTGTTGGGTCATTATGATATGCAATCCCAACCACCACGCCGAAGTAGCAGCTTTTGGCCAGGGTTTGTCATAAAGTATCATAATTAATCCTCAGAGATAATTTCACTGGTGAAATCAATTTCCGGCGTAAGATCCCATAAATAACGCTCATTTTTGACAGTTTGTGTGTAAAACAAGTGTGAGCCTGTGGCAAATCAGGACTTTGAGCTCATCGTAGAATTTCGAGCTGATCTGCTGGCACTGCCCAAAGTTTCACGGTAGCTTTTTGTTGTAAAGCGGAATGGAGAGACTGCAACCATAAACCTGCCATTTTTGATTTGTTTACATCAATTTAGGATGCTTATGATGAGGATCCCGAATAGCATCAAGTTTGAAAACTGGTCATTACCTTAAGCACACTACGGAAGCACTTACAACCTTGGGGGTAGGTCTCCAAAGTGTTCCGCTATTTTCTGTTGAAAGTGCATTGTAATGATTTTTAAGTGCACAAAGGTATCCTGTTACAAAAAGGGGGTGCTATATGGAGGAATGTTTCAAAAGATTGCCTTCTAAATTGAGGTGGTGTTTCCTCATAAAATTAGGGCGCAAATCCAAGACTTTGGAAATAAATGGGATCCCTAGACATTCTTTTGGGGAGGTTACCGTGCGTCCACAGACACACCTTAATGATGGTTTTAGGGTTTTTGCCCGGAATTCCCAAAGTGCGCCTGAGATAAATACTAGGTGGGATTTCGTGTGATTGGTCATTTTCATCTTTAGGTGCATGAGAGCCAAGATTTACCAACATAAAAATCAACTTAAAGCCTAGAAAGATTGTAAGTGGTGAAGCTTTGTCAATAAGTAATAAGTCAGTTATTCAGACAGCAGTCACCATGATCTAAATTTAATAACCCTATGGAAGTTTTCTGAATAAAACCAGCATGGTCAAAACAATTCTGAAGTTTGTGAAGTGCCACTGGTTTGAAGAAAATAACAGCAGTGTGACTCTAAAGGCCACCCTAACAACTGCCGAAATAACCAACCTGGTTTCAGTATTCTGACTGTGAAAGAAGTTTATCACAAATCGAGAAACCTAATTGGCGATTCCGATTGTCAGGATGGCCATTAAAGTTGCTCTAACAGCATCAATATGTAACAGCCTTGTACTATCTTAGTTCCTTTCCAGGTTCTTACCACCAAACACGCCTAATAACTTACCACCTATCTACAGGCTAGACGAAACCCAACAGAAATAACCAATCAGACTTCCCTACTTAATGAAGATCTGCCTAATCAGCTGAATTGAGGAGACCTAACTAGTCATTTTTATCGTTGCTAGGGTGACCTTTGAAGTCGCTCGTAGATTGTAACTTCATAATCTACGGACGTGACATCTGCAATGGATTTCAGCCAGCCTAACAACTTAAATGATCGGATTCGTTGATCTTATTAATATCTATATAAATAGAGAAATATAACTGGTTTGTTTAATAGTTGTTAGGGTGACCTTTAAGTCCACACTAGTCGTTTCAAAACTCACATCATAAATTGCACCGAGACACTCTTGTTCGTTATCCCGCCGAAACATTGTATTTGCATACAGATAGGAATCCATTATTTTTTTAACGACCTTGTGTAAACCAACTGATTTCTTCGCTCTCGCTTCTTGGTCTTGCGGAATGGCTCCAGATCTTTTGTCGGATTCCGATGCAGTAGGTCCAGCCACTCGTCTGCTATAGCTCTGATTTACAGAACAGGAAGTTAAGTGTTGGTTTGTTTGCCTTGGACTGTGGTGTAGTTGGCTTCTTCAGATGTCAAGTTGCCAGACAGTTGTTAGGACTGGTCGCTAGAGAGGGTTGGGGATAGTGAAGAGAAAACCTACAAAGTGTTTGTGTGAGTAAAAGAAGAGAGGAAAAGTGAACTAATGGGATAATCTACTTACACCCAAGTAAGCTGAGTAGGGGTGCAAAGGTATGAAGAACTTAGGTAAGTGAGGCCAACTTATGGCAAGTGGAAGGGCTGAAAAGGGCTTAAATGGATACAACAGAAAGAAAACTGGTTGGGGTGGCTTGACATCACTTCGTGTTCCAGCTATGCGTGGGTAGACCGCGAGTCTCTGCATAACTATCCAGCCTCTTCTTGAAGCTCTCAACAGTTGGGGCGGAGACCACCTCTGCTGGTAGTGCGTTCCAGTACCCACAGACTCGGAGGGAGAAGAACTGTGAACGCATATGCGTCTTTGACCTCTGGTGTGCTATTCTATTGGGGTTTCCTCGAGGATCTCCGTAGTGGCCACTCAGCAGGACTCCTCTGTCTGGGCGACTTGGATTGCTCATTATTTTGTAGGCCATTATTAAGTCGCCACGTGTCCTTCAACAGCTAAGGGAGTATAGACCTAGGTCTGAGTCTGTCCCCATATGGTTTTCAGTGCATTCCAACAACCCCCTTTGTGGCTTGCCTCCGGACTTTCGCCAGCAAGTTCGTGCCTCTTTTCAGCTGTGGTGGAGCGAAGACGTTATGGGCCTCTGAGTGGGGCCGTATGTAAGTCTTGTAGAGCTTTAGAGAGAGTTCAGGGGTGAGGGCACCCAGTTGTCTACGCGCAAAGTGTAGTACCCCATATGCTTTTGAGACACCACCTGGGTAATTGCAACTGGTGTCCAGTTTCTCCGTCACCGTTAGACCCAGGTCTTTTTCTACTGTGATATGGGATAGACATGAACCACAGAGATAGTAGGATGTTTTCCGGGGATCAGGAGTGAGGAAAAACATGGACCGGCACTTATCCAGATTAAATGCCAGTTCGTTATTAGTCCCCCATTCCTCTAGTGTTCTGAGGTCCTTCTGTAATGCCATAGGTTCCGCCTCGCAAGTTATTGCCCTCCACAACTTGACATCATCAGCGTATAGGGAAATCGGGGAGCTGATATGTTGCGGCAAGTCATTTGCGAACAGTAGGAGCAACAGTGGGACCATGATTGCCCTTTGTGAGACACCGGATAAGGATGTTCTCCAAGTTGAGTAGACCCTGTTGAATTTCGTGCAGAACTCTCTGTTGTCTAAGTAGTTATGCAGCCACGATAGCACCTGGCTGCGAATACCTAACGCAGCTATCTTATGTATTAGGATAGGTGTGAGACGGTGTCAAAGGCTTTGGCGAAGTCCGGAAAAATTACGTGGACCGGGACCTTGAGATCCCAGCACGCTGTCCAGTGATCATGGGCCGTCAGGAGGTTGCAGGCACAGAACCCACCCTTCTGGAAGTCATGTCCAGCGTCACTGAGTGCCCGCTTGGTGTCCAGGTATTCTCTGATAAGGTCGTCCATCACACTTTCCAGTACTTTTGATATTACTGGTAGAGGTGCTATGGGTCTATAACAGTTTGGATTCTGTCTGTCTTCTCCTTTGAAGATGGGAGAAAGGATAGCCCGTTTCCACTCTCGTGGGAGCTTTCTCTCATCCAAGGAGTGTTGGAAGAGGTTGCACAGTGGGCCACTTAGGGTACTCGCACATTCTTTCAACACAGATGGGCGAATATCGTCGCACCCTGGGGGTTTTCTCGCGCTTAACTTTAAAAGCTTGTCAAGAACAACAGCACGAGCTATCTGTATTTCGTGTAACTCGGTAGCATCGGGTAACGTTGAAGGCTGTTCATGCAATTGGTATGCTCACTTTCTTGATGGAATGTTGAGCTGCGTGTCGAATGTGGTGCTCAGCATTACAGCAATCTCCTGTCCAGAGAGCTTTTCTCCGTTCGAAGCCTAGCTTCGGATGCCGCAGATGGACCTGTATTGTGACGTGATGCATAACGTTGCTGGTTATTTACGGAAGAGTATGCTTCGGCTGCTGCACCTCTGGATACTTCTCCAAAACTGCCTGGTAGGTCGCGTCACCTGACTGTTTGGTTCTAACGACGGCTAAGCTCGGACCTGCTTAGGTGGTGCCACCAATAGATGACTTTTTGTTGTCATCAATCAGACGTCGAGGGCGAACGTCTACGAGTAAATCGTAATGGTTTAGCAAATCTGTGCCAACGATGGGCATAGAAACGTCAGCCAGGCGGAAAATCCAGTGAATAGGTTTGCGTAAACCTAAGTTTAGGTAGGCATACCGTCTCCCAAATGTCGCGATTGCCTTGCCGTTGGCTGCTTGGAAACTGAAGGATGGGTCACGATGACGCTCCTTTGCCAACTTCTGCGCCGGTGTCGACGAGGCAGCGGACTTTCGTTTTAATATCCGTGACGTAGAGCAAACGGCTGTTTCCGCCGGCTACGGTTGCCGTGACCACGTGCCGGCATGGCCCTTTCCCTAGTTTGTGTCCTTGTTAAAACCATATGGCCTCCAGCACTTTTTGGCTTCGTCTCCGTAAGTATTATGAAACCGGCACCATTTAGGGTTTTCCACCCCGTAAGGTTTAGTTTTCGGACAACCACTGGAGTTGCTGCCATGCGCTAAGGTGCTTTTCTGTGAAGTGCTACAGAACCTAGGACTTCGAGATCGTAGCAACTGTTTAACAGAGTTTCACAGCCTGGTCACCCTCGAGTCCTGGCTCTCTGGTTTGTCGCAGACGGAATATATGTTGGAGATGGGTCTGCTAGAGATCTCCAGTATTTTACCTACTGAAGCTCCAGGTCATCGAGCGGGACCAACTGCAGCGTCACCAGCACGGTTTGCACCGGTTGTGGTGGCTTCGGGAGAAATAGTTCTCGGAAAAGGCCATTGTCAAATGTTCGTGCACCCATAACTTCTCGCATGCGTGCGAGGACTTCAGTAGCGGAGTAGCTGCCTAGCTCGATGTTACGAGATAATTCATCTAGGAGCTGGTAATCTGTGAGATTGCTTTTCTTCAAGAGTGCGGCTTTGGGAAGTGCATACTAATAATAATATATTTCATGCAACGTAAGTTACATGAAAACAAACCAGTTTACAGGTTCGATCATTTTGGTAATGTGAACTGACTCCTATGTACAACTTCAGGCTATAAAATGGACACCGTTCTTTCCGGTACATAAAAGATGCGTCCATAGTAAGAAAGTTAATGCTTTGCAGACAGCGAAGAATGAAACAGATAAACACCAGCACATTTTTTTCATCATACTGAGGCAAGCTCAGTTCAAAAATAGGAAATATTCGGCTATTGTTTGAATCTTCCAATATTCTTGAAGGTTGGGCGGGTAGTACAGCTGTGATCTTGGGCTTTATGCGTTCGTCATAGGGTCTAGATGGCATAGTGCACACTGACAAATTAGACTACCAGGATTTCATATGGATGAAGGACTGGTTGGGTAAACCTGAAAAGCGAATAACAAAAGCGAGCAGCAGACGAAATTCGGAACAGGAGCACAGAAATACTACGCAGAAGTACATCGACCATGATACACGTAGGTGAGTTCATTGTACTGACTGCAAAAGTTACTTGAAGAGGTATCCAAAACCTACTGTTCAGAGGTAAGCTTATGGGGAAAAAGATGAAGGTGCAAATGAAGGTAGTGGAAACTAAACTTAAGCCGAAGATATCACTATGGAATAGAGAGAATAGAAGACTTTGGACCAGGTATTCGCTTATGTGTAGAAAACCTACGTAATGAAGTCATGAAGTTGATGAAGTTATGAACAATTAAATGGAACTCATGCTTTTTGATGTTGATCAAGAACGTTCCGACTTTTAGATGATATTTTGAATTGCTGATACATACTCCAAAGGAACTATAGATATTCCGATATCTGTCCAAGCAACATCCGTATCGCGACCACCGAATACACTAGTTGGCATTCGCTACTGTATTCGTGTACTTTCCATGTAATCATAAGAATGAATCAACATTAAGTAGAGTCGATCAACAAAACCAAACTCAGGCAAGCATACAATGTTTTAAACCTCGTGAGTAATCCAAACTTTAGTGTGTGGGTCAATCTTTTATGACGGTAGGGTAGTCAGAAATCTTAATCATTCGTTTCATTCGGCCTCATCCTATTTATTCGTATGAGGGCACGGAATATGTTGATTCTTTCTTCTGCCTCATTGTATTTTCTGTTCGTTATAAATAGTTGTAGCCTCAAAATCACAGGTTTAAAAACTTCGGTGCATGAATGCTTCCGCACAGGACAAGCTTCGAAGAGTTCGGTCACATCCTTAATATATTTCTGCCCTGGATTCCAGGTTTTCTTAGTTTGGCTGTGGGGAGTCAGAAAATTCGCGTCTTCCTTACTGGTTACTAGACGGCTAGAGTCATAGCGAATTCTTTACTCCGCCAAACAAAGCACCCCGCTTCTTGATATTTATGAACTGTTTCTCATTCATGAGCATCAGAACAAGACGAAAAACCACGACGTGACTGGCACTGCTATGAGGAACAACTTTCATTCATTCTGTAAGACGTTTAGACCATTCACAGCTTCTGATAGTTTAACATGCAGTAAACTAACACTGTGTTGAAAATTTTGAGGGGGGCATGCATTAAGTACCTCAAAAACTAAGGGATGCAGCCAATATTCCTTACCTTTTTCGCGCACCGAGAAGCCGCTTTGCTTTTTGCGGAATATTTGCCGATTCGGAATACATAGTTCACGGTGCCCAGGCATCCCTATGAAAACATTTAGTACCTAAATTCCTTCTGTTAGAAAAAACCATCTGTTAGGAAGGTGAAGCTTTTTGAACATGTAGCATCCGGTTAATATGACCAAATATCTCCCACACGGCCACTCAAAGTCACCCAGTG